GCGTTTGGTTTTTCAGATGAAATGATAAACCAAGATTCTCCCAGATGGATTTAAAATATACCATTATACTATTTGAAAAATAGTAGAGGAGTTCTTCTGGAGATATGATCATTTATTTCATTGCTGGGTGTAGGAGCTTGTGGGTAAACCAGCAGGCACATTTTTGGCATTACAGTTGTAGAGGATTTAAGTGAAGCACTTGGGATGTCCTGAGGTCATAAAAGGTGGGATAAAAGTACATGACTTTTCTTTATCTCATACTTCACCTTTACAACAGTTACTTCCTTACTTTGTATCACTGGCAAGACCATTAGGTAGATTGAGACAACGTTTGTCGTGGTACCCTCATGGTGCTGTTCGTTTATAATAATGAACTTCTGAAAATTCTAAAGCAATCCATGCTGCTGAGGTTTGAGAACAAGAAAGCCACGCTTTCAAAAACCAATTCACAGCTCTTCCCAATGACAAACCAACATGTAATGATCTTCTTCATTGCTCACGCAATTCCAGATCAACAAACTGTAAACTATTTGAAATTTTAATGTTGCACTACCAATGAAGGGAAGTGACCATCATCATTACCACAGCTTCTATATCTCTATCTAACTGACATAGACCTGCTCTGAATAGATTGTTGACAATGTGAATCAAACAACCAGCTTTGAAAAGCTCGGAGACAGCAAGAAAGGCAGATGCTGGAATCAGAGTCAATAGAGTTTGGAACTAGATGAACATAGCAGGACTGGCAGCAATGAAGGAGCTGTTTTGGGTCGGGATCCTTCATCCTGACCTGCTCTGTTCCTCAAGCTTTGAAAAGCTTTAGGTTCTTTCCAGAACGTATATGCAGAGTGATAAATCCCAAAATAGGCACTAGTATTATCAACTGAAAAAGTTGACATTTGTTGGAAGTCCAATCCTTCCTTTTACACAGCGATCAAAACTGGATGTACAACAACCTCAGCAGATCCAAATGGACATCCAGACATTCATCTAGCAATTTGGACACACATCCATCTTTGGACAGTGTGGTATGGTAAACTAGGGTCAATCTTCTTAGTTCTTTTATTGGAGATGGCCGTTACAACTGAGAAAAATGAGGGTCATGATTTTTTTAGGAAAGGAGGATCAGAATACGACTGTGATCAGTGACTGTTTTAATACCACCAGAACTCTGATTATAGGAAATAATCATGCCAGGCAATAACACCAAGACCGATTGACGGGTGAGCTTGTATCTTTAACGAGCTGGTGGTGGAGACTACAAAAGTGTTGTAATAATCTGGGAGTGTGGAGGCAAATCCAAGCATGTCTGAGCTTCTTTGCCCATATCCTAGGGACCAGCTAGTCATAAGGGAAGTGGTCAGACACCTGTCACTCCTGAGTAAGGTAACGGAGACTGAGGCTAAGACTTGGGGGCCAAAGCTTGGTATGGGATGGGGATATGTTGTCGGAAATGCTCGGCAGGAACAGCGTCAGTGTGGGGATGGAAGGAAGGATCTGGTATTTGGACTAAGAGGGAATTTGGGGACTGGATTTGGGGCTTAGGCCTGTCCAATCATGATTGAGCTGCCAAGTGCACCAACTCCCCATCACCTTCAGCCACAACTCCCAGTGCACCCTCTTCCACTTAAGCCCCTCAGGCCTGGTTTTGGGTAATGGTGGGATCTATGGTTGTGGAGCAGTTGGCAGAGTAAATTGGAAGACTAAGCAATATCTGGACAGAGGAACAGAATGAGTAGTCAAGAACTGATGGAAAAATAATTTCTGTTAGTATCACTTGCTGACACTTTTCTCCGTTTAGCAGTTCAAACTGTTTCTAAAATTTTGCTATCCTGCATGAGCTAGTCCATGTTCCTCTGCTCTCCACCTCATGGCTGAGTAAGTTCCACAGAGCATGCATAACAATAAGTATTAACTCGGTTCAACAAGGGCATTGGCAAGATGAAACTCTCCAACAATATTCCAGTTGTTGTATGAGAAATAGGAGACAAATGATATATTGGGAGCTAAGAATTGGGATGTGGGGCAAATGTAGAATTAGTGGACAATCCCATAAAACACAGGAAGGTTGGTCACTCAGTCAGTATGTATCAATTTCAATTGCTCTTAAAGAGTTAATAATTGAGATGACTGTTTCATGTTCATTCTTAGGATCCCTACAATGCAGATAGAGGTCATTTGGCCCATCAATCTGCACCGACCCACCAATGAGCCACCAGACACAGCCCCCTACCCTGTCCCCATAACTCCATATTTCCCATGACTACGCCTATCGAGCCGACACATCCCTGGGAATACTACAGACAATTTAGCATGGCCAATCCACCTAAACTGCACATCTTTGGACTCTGGGAGGAAACCAGACCACCTAGTGGAAACCCATGCAGACAATAGGGAGAACATGCAAACTCTACATGACAAACGCCTAAGGCTGGAATAAAATCTGTGTCCCTGGCACTGTGAAGCAACAGTGCTAACTATTGTGCCACCATGCTGCCTTTCATTAGCCTCTTTCATTTTTTAATCGGTGTTCCTGGTTTTCCACAATTTGGGAAAATGGATAGAGTTGTGGAATGTAAATTGCAAAATACCTGTAAAAATCTCAGTCTCTTGTGTAACTAAGACATTTTTAAATGATTCAGTTCAAAAGAACCAGTACTAGCTTGGTTCAATTGGTAGCATTCTCATTTCTGATCAAAAAGCTAGCTGCACTGCAAGACAGGAGCATATCATCTAACTTGACTTTCAATGTCATACTGATGGAGTGTTGCATTGAAAGATGTGTCATCTTTCAGATCAGGGGCATAACCACTTTTTTAGATGGAGGTAAAACATTCCATGTCTTACACTAAAGGTTCTTGTTGTTACAAATAGTTTTGCCAAATTTTCTTCCTTGCAGCATTTAAACTGTGGTTTGCATCTTTACAATGCTTTGTACATAATTCTTCCAGTTGATTGCCAGCAAAACCAATCCTGAACTCAGTATTAAGAGGTTTTATTTGCATAATTATATGATCCATTCCTTCAGATGGATTCATTTAATGCATTACAGCACAAGTGATGAATATTGTTGATAATACCTTAAAATTAAACCTGGCATATATTTTACAAAAGCAAAATACCGCAATTGCTAGAAACACTCAACACGACTAGCAGCATGTAGAGAGAGAAAGAAAAATGTTTTGAGAAGGGCCAATAGGCTGATGAGTGGCAGATGGGGGAGGTGATAGCCTCATGGTATTATCATTGGATTGTTAACCCAGAGACCCAGGTAATATTCCGGGGACCCAGGCTTGAATCCTGCCAAGGCAGACAGTGGAATTTGAATTCAATAAAATATCTGGAATTAAGAATCTAATGACGACCATGAACCCATTGTTGATTGTCAGGAAAAACCCATCTGGTTCACTAATGTCCTTTAGGGAAGGAAACTGCCATCCTTACCTGATCTGGCCTACGTTTGACTCCAGACCCACAGCAATGTGGTTGACTCTCAGCTGCCCTCTGGGGAATAAGGAATGGACAATAAAAAAATGGAGTTTAATTTAGATAAATGTGAGGTGCTGCATTTTGGAAAGGCAGATCAGGATGGGACTTATACACAATGGTAAGATCTTTGCTGAACAAAGAAACCTTAGAGTGCAGGTTCATAGTTCCTTGAAAGTGCAGTCCCAGGTAGACAGGATAGTGAAGAAAGCATTCGCTACGCTTGCCTTTATTGGAAACAGACCCTTTGGTCCAACTCATCCATGTTGACCAGATATCCTAAATAGATCTAATCCCATTTCCCAGCATTTGGCCCATATCCCTGTTAACCCCTCCTATTCATGTGCCCATCTAGACGCCTTTTAAATGCTGTAATTGTACCAGCTTCCACCACTTCCTTTGGCAGCTTATTCCACACACGCACCTTCCCCTGCATGAAAATATTGCCCCTTAGGTCACTTTTAAATCTTTCCCCTCTCAACTTAAACCTATGCCCTCTAGTTTTGGACTCTGCTACCCTAGGGAAAGGACCTTGGCTATTCACCCTACCCATGCCCCTCATGATTTTATAACCTTCTATAAAGGTCACCCCTCAGTCTCTGACACTCCAGGGAAAATAGCCCCAGCCTATTCAGCCCCTCCCTACATCTCAAACCCTCCAACTCTGGCATAATCCTGGTAAATCTTTTCTGAACCCTTTCAAGCTTCACAACATCCTTCCTGTAGCAGGGAGACCAGGATTGAACACAGTATCCCAAAAGTAACCTAACCAATGTCCTGTACAGCTCCAACATGACCTCCCAACTCCTATACACAACGCACTGACCAATAAATGCAAACATGTCAAATGCCTTCTGTACTATCCTGTCTACCAGCAACTCTACTTTCAATGAACTATGAACCTGCACCCCAAGGTCTCTTTATTCAGCAACACTCCCCAGGACCTTAGCATTAAGTGTATAACTCCTGCCCTGATTTGCATTTTCAAAATGCAGCACGTCACATTTATCCAAATTAAACTTATTACCATGAGTTCAACTAATATCAATAAGAATGATTGGTGGCAGTGAAAATCAACCCAAGATACCCTAGGTCATAATCCAATGCTGGCAGATCCATTGTTTCTTGGACAAAGAAACATCAGTTCCAGGTCATTAACCATAGTAGCGGATTTCAGATGGTCGCACAAAATAAAGCGAGAGAGCACCTAGCCAATTCTTTAACCAGTAGCTTTTATTCAAGCAGCAATCGATTACAGCAGGGAGAGAACGTGACACAGTTTCGCAGGACAGCCATGCCTTCTCTAATCTGGTCAGACAATCCCTGACCTCTTGTACAGTCTATCATTCATACTGCGGCAAAATGCAGCCAATCAGGTGCACTTTCTGTTTTTCAGAAGGAGAAGGTACCATATATGATTTGTGAAGAAGGGTCCAGACCCAAAACGTCAGCTTTCCTGCTCCTCTGATGCTGCCTGGCCTGCTGTGTTCCTCCAGCTCCACACCTTGTTATACCATATATGGTTTGGCTAGAATTTTCTGCATATCATCAAACAGCGTCATATACGGCAATGCGACATGCCGCAAAATCCCACTTTATTGTTTGCTATCATTTATTATTTTCTTTTAAATCCTCATCCGTCATGTATTATTTTGAGTTACGCCCTGTTGTCAATTATTTAGTTTTGTGTTGTGTAAGATACTTAATGATGCATCACGTGATTTCTGCGGTTTTAACGCTATTTGTATTAACTCTTTAAATTCTTATGCCCACGTTCGAATGTCAGTGCATTAACCTAACACATTGGCTGTGATATTATTGGTGGAGGGTAAGTTCTGACATCAGGTACAATGAGACATCCTGAAACTACACAAGGAAGTGGGCAGCTGTACTTCAACAACTTTCTACCTGCTCCCTAAAGAAGAACGGTTAGCTTGCTTTCCAATCTGAAGGTCAGTAGCTCTACCACCTCAGCAGTACTGCTGAACTAAGTGGCAACTGTTAAGACTGTAAAGGAAATCGAGACACGTTGGAGTTTTCTCTGCCGGGGGTTAGCCAGATAGATCACAGAGATTGGAGGGGGTAACTTTTTCACCAGCAGTGCCTTACTCCTGGTGGAATCCCTCCTCTAGTCATTGAATTTCTGAAATGGATGGTACTTCTCTTGCCCCAACAATCGCCGCCTAAATGTAGTTGGAATATGAGTTTTATTTACCTAAATATGTTGACACCTCTGGTTGAAGCCAGCTGAGTATTTATTATTCTTAGCACAAGTAAAATGATTCAGTGGAGGGAGCACCATATCAATGTCTCTCATCATTTTGTATACCTCAATCAAAGTCTATCCAGTCTCTCCTCATACCTGACAGCTTCCATCCCAGTGAATCTCCTCTGCACCCTCTCCAACGCAATCACATCCTTCCAAAAGTTGTTTAATAGTTACTCAGAGTTATACTAGGTTTTTAGTAGTCTAACTTTTCCTGGGTAACTATTTACTTAACTGAAATAGAAGCGTCTGAATTCTTTGCT